GGGCAACGGTGGCATGGGCTGAAGGTCAGACAGTGGAGCAATTTCACAGTGGATTGCACACCACTTCCTTTCCCCTCCAGCTGCACCCTTTTTAAGATCTGTGAGCTTTTAGGAAATAAACAGAGGTTGGGTCTCTATGAAAGGCAGGACCCCAGAGTTAGGTCATAGAGTGGTGGCATAGTGCCTAAAAGCCTGGGGACAAGGGTCTAAATGAAATTCCTCTCTCCAGCCCTAGGTGAGGTGGGTAATACATAACATAAAAGGCCTGTGGCCTTGGGAAATCACCAACTCCCTCCATTCTTTCTTTTTGGAATTGCCTTGGGTGGGATTTCCTTTGGAGGTAGACTGGGGAAGCTTTGGCCCTAAGATGAAAGAAGATCAGGAAAATCATGAGAGAAACATAGGTAGGCATGGGGGTGTGTGGGGAGGGGAGAGATGGCCCTGCTCAGGTGTACATAACCCAGTACTTGGAGCCTAATAGGCAGCTCAAGATTGGCATGTCCTTCTCATTGGACAAATAAAGGTACATCGTGGGGTCAAGTTACTTGCCTATGGCCTCATAGTTAGTCAGCAGGTTGCCACATGGCTAGTAAGCAGCCACGGTCTGTCCTGTGCACTAAGCCAGGCATTGATCCCAGCTCTATGGGGCATACCGAACGTACTACATAGGCAGGGCTCACAAATATTGGTTGAATTTGTAGATTTGGATAGGAAAGTCAAGTTGCCCAAAATTTACTCTAACCCAAAGCAGAGAAAACTGACTTAAATTGGGGAATAGAATATAAAAGTACCACATGAAAAGGAAAGTCTTCGCAAAGGATGGGCATTTGAGAGTGTTAACGGGGAGCAGAATGTCCGAGGGGATGTTGATGTGAGTGCTTGGTCATTTTGAGTGCTTCACCATTCGTTCATTCATTCACTGTTTGCAGAAAGGCTCTCCAGAACAAACTATCTCAAATGTGCTCACTACTCTGTACCTTATCATACTGCATTCCTATTCATATTATGTACATTTACCTGCCAATTTGTTGTGTATTTTATTGTCTTATTCCCCTACCACTGAACCACAAATTCCAGGAGGAGAGAGTTGGAGGATTTTGCTGTGTCTTGTATCGCCAATGCCTGGGACTCTCTGGGTGCTCACTTTATACTTGAAAAATAAATGCTTAAGTGAATGAGTGAATTCCAAGGCAAGGGGACAACAGGTACCGAGCACAGAAGTAGCCTCCTCTGGCTCAGGAACACTGAACCTGTAGGAGTGGAGCAGATAGCGTGGAGGGACAGGGTGAGGCAGGAGAGGTCTTTGGGGGGAAGACCAAGAAGGCCTTGAGAGTCATACTGAGGAATTTTGACTTATTTTGTCCTGTAGTCAATGGGGAACCACTGAAGATTTTCAGTAGGAGAGTGACAGGATCCAATCTGTGTTTTAGAAAGATAATTTAGGAAATGTAATTAGTAATAAAATTTGTAATGAAAATATAGTGCAATGAATGGATATAGGCAGGAAACTAGTAAGAAGGTGGCTGCTTCACCTGGTGAGAGATGTCAAGGGTCTGAACTCAGGCCATTTGTTCATAAATGAAGGGTGGAAAGGATGGGGCAGCGATGATGGTGGTAAAGAGAAAAGCGTCGTCAGGAAGAGAGTGGGAGGATGTCGGTACAGTTCAGCGGTCAGTGAGAAGAGAGCAAGTGGGGAGTCCTTTTGCCAACTGAAGGAGTCAGAAGGGTGGTGTGTACATGTGTGCCTGTGTGTGCGTGTGTGTGTGTGTGTGTGCCTTTGTGTGTATGCTCATGTTTGTGTTGGGGGATGGCACCCACATGGTGGAGCAGTTCTGGCAGACATAAAGTTTGTGGGGCCACTATAACAGTCCTGTCCATTGTGACCAGGCAGACGGTGATGGTGGCCTGATGCTCAGGAGAAAGGCTGGGGGCTGGGGATGGAGATGTGAGAGCCATCATTATGGACAAGTATTAGAAACCACAGAGAAGAATGAGATCCTCCAGGATGTCAGTGTCGATGGAGGGAGAAGGCAGGAGGGTGCAGGACAGAATTCTTTGGAGCATTCACCAAGGAGAGGAAGGGAGAGGGGTGTGCCCCTCCCTGCTTTTGCAGCACAGTGGCATGTGACAGGGCTGGACATCCCTGTCTCCCTACTCAGGGCTAATGTTTATACTACATCAGGATCAGGACTTTGACTTCAGATTGGGATTAAAAAAAGTACTAGCAGCATCTGTAGAGTTAAAAATAATACTTAAAAAAGTGACAAAGCTTCATTGAGCTTTATCCAAAGTAGCTTGTCCTTCTCATTCTTTGGCAGAGAGAACAGTGGTCTAAAGATAAGGATGTACATCCAGATGTGGGCCCTAGGGAGGGGAAGCTGGGGGCATGTTGAGCCAGATTGGGAGGCGGAAAGACTCCTGAGCAGGCAGAGGCTACAGGGAGGAGAGAGACAAGGTGGCCTCCTGCCCTTAAGAAAACACTGACTGGTAGAGAGATGGGCCTGTGGGTGGTCAAGTGCTGGGCACTGAGATGCCTTAGGAGCCTGGTTCCTTGCTGGGCAGCTGGTGGGACCCAGGAAGGACTCAAGACTCACTCTGTTCCCTACACAAGTAGGGTTCCACCTCCTTTCATGGGACTTCCTAGTAGGACAGTCCCAAGGCCGTGGACAGCATCCTGTCAACTGGTAGGAAAAGACTTTTCCTCTTCTTCTAATTCCTCCCTGGAGAGTCCTAGGAGCCTGGAATCCTGATTTCCTCCCATTTTGCCAATTACCTGGCCTGTGGCCCTGGGAAATCACCAATTCCCTCCATGCTTTCTTTTTGGAATTGCCTTGGGTGGGATTTCCTTTGGAGGTAGGCTGGGGAAGCTTTGGCCCTAAGATGAAAGAAGATCAGAAAAGTCATGAGAGAAACACAGGTAAGCATGGGGGGGGGGGGACGGGGAAGAGATGGCCCTGCTCAGGTGTACATAACCCAGTACTTGGAGCCTAATAGGCAGCTCAAGGTTGGCATGTCCAAAATCAAATTGCGGTTTCCTTCCCCAACACAAGCAAACACCAGGAGCCGCCATGCCCTGCCCGCTCCCCTGCACCAGGTCTGGTATCAACATTTGTCCTTGCCTGAGCTCCTCCCAGGCCTCCTTTCTCCTACCCATGCCTCCTGAAGCCAGAACCATTAGGGGAAAAAAAAATCAGGTCGTGTTACATCTTTGCTCAAAATTCAATGCCTGTTCACGCCCTCAGAACTACAGCAAAAGTCCTTCTGTGGCCTAGAAGGCTCTCTACCATCTGTCCCTGGATACCTTTCTGACCTCATTTCCAACCATCCTCCTCATGTTCACTTGGCCTGGATCAACTCCCTCCTTGCTGGTCCCCAATCCCAGCAGAGGTGTCGCCAACAGCTTATGTGTCGCCTGTCCCCACACCTGGGAGACTCTACCCAAACACTCTCATGACTCCCTCCCTTCCTTTATGGTCTCTGAACATTACTTCCAAGAAGCCGGACACATAAGGGAGACCTGTCTTAACCCTGTGCCTTACACACAGGAAGCGCTTGACAACCAGAAGGTAATCATATCCTGGCTTGTGAGCTCTCCCAAGGCCAGATGCATGCGCGGCCATTGGCCACCAGAGGGAGCCGCACGCGGTGGCGCCCGCACTCTGCGGCTCAGGTTGCGGCTGCAGCAACCTGGGAGGGCTGGCGGCCCTCCACCCACGCAGCACCGGGAAGGTGGGGACCCAGAGACACAGTCCATGGTTTCTGCACCAGCAGCACTTGGCTCCCCGCATACCTCCCAAACCAGATCCTGGGGGCTGACTGTCAAAAAAAGAAGGGCAGGTGAGATTTTGAGAGTTTAAAAATGCGTTTTCCCACCTATTTGTCAAGCCCCAAGCCCCAGCACCTCTAGTCACCTGAGGTCACATCTCTTACAACACCCTCCCTTCCTAGTCTAAAAATACAGAATCTGGAAACTTCAGTGAGGTTAAGGAGCATACATCTTCTGCCTGGCATACCCCTTGGAGCCTTCCCTGAGCAGTTGCCACGTGACTAGGACAGAATCCAGGGGCCATGGCTTTATGTACAAGGGTCCTAAAAGCAAACGGCTGTCAGTGAAAGTGCCTACTTCCTGAGGGCAGAGTGACTTAAGGAGAGGAGAGGGAGAAGAGTGGGTGAGTGAATGGGGGGAGATTAGGCACTAACTTGAGGCCTACGGAGGGTCAGGAGGGTCCTATCAAACTTGGTCCACAGGCCAAATTTCATATCTTTACCACACTCCTGCCTTCACACACCCCCATCTCTCCTTCCAGATCCTCCCTCCTTCTGAGAACCTTGTGCAGGCAGGCCAGGCTTGGAAGTCCTCAGTGTTGGTCAGTGTCTTAGAGGTCACCTTAGATGCTCCTGGTGTGTCCAGCAACCATGGTTCCTAGGAATTCACTGCTCAGTATTCCTGCCCCTTCCCAGTCCTGTTGCTGGGTTTTGGCCCACTGTGACAGCCCCACCATGGTCAACAAACCCTGCCTCCCAGGCATGGGAAATGTCTCTCCCATTACCTCTTCTCAGAGGCAACACTGTGTGTCTGAGAACAGGGGCCTTCCCTTAGCACAAGGCCAGAGGGTGGGGCAAGGCACTGGCAGTGAACTGATGGTCTAACTAACAGGTAGCTCCTAGTGAGTAGGTGTGCATGTGTGTGAATGTGTGAGTGAGTGTGTGTGTGTCAGAGTGTGCACAAGTGTGGAGTCAGTGTGGAGTCAGTGTGCCCCGCCCCAGTATTGGGAACAGAACCCAGGGGTGTTTTACTACTGAGCTACATACCCAGTCCTTTTATTTTGAGACAGAGTCTCACTAAGTTGCTTGGAGCCTTGCTAAGTTGCTGTGGCTGGCTTTGAACTTGTGATCCTCCTGCTTCAGCCTCTGGAATCACTGGGATTTCAGGGGTGCCCACCGCACGTGGCTTGAAACCTTCTTTTAAAATATCCCCCAACCTTCCCAAGCGCTCTATGTTTTCAGATCATATTGACTGATTTTATTATGTAATTATGAAGGTGCCTATCCACTGTTAATCATCTGAATGTTTATAAAAAGCCAACATTGCTGCAGGCCAGTGTGAGTTTGTACTTTCTCATTGAAGTGTGAGAATTCAGTCCAAAGTAAAGCCATTTGACATTCTCTTTTGCTGTGGGGTGTGACTTTGCCTTAGGTGTTTTGGAATTTGAAAACCACAAAAACACCTTGGTCTTGTCCCCTTAGATACTGAAGCTCTGGGGATTCCTGGGTACAGACACTAGCTTTGGTGTGTGACTTGCTCTTTGCCACTAAGTCCCACTTATTTGTTGGGTGATTAGCTAATTTTTAAAAAAAGTTTCCATACAAAATGGATTAGTAGGCCAATTTTAACTGTAACCTTCTCAGATAGCAAACCAATTTAGCTCAATAAAATCCAGGGGTCTCTGGAGCATAAGATTGTATATATAGTCTGATTATAACTCAGTTAAAAACAAGAATAAGGGGTAGAATTTTTAGCTATGGCAGTGCAGAAAGGCTGACAATTCCTCATATTAAAAAATAATGTAAGACTAGACAAATATGTCAAAAATCATTTCTAGGCAGCAAATACAAATAGCACCTTGACAAGCTTTTTTCAAGACAAATTGCTGAAATCTTCTGATAAGAACTTGAGAGCCTGAAGTGTGCTGGTTAGGACTGCTGGCTTCTCTCTATCCTTGGATTTAGTAGAGCTATGGCTGGCGGTGACCACCAGCTGCTTCACTGTGGAGGAGTTGGCCTTGATGTGGAGAGGAGGATAAAAGACCCATCTCCAGCAGGTTTTCAGTAGAAGCAGCAACTTGATATAAAACAAATGGGAAAGTCCACAGCCAGCTTGCCTGAAGTTGTGGTGCTGTTCATAGTAGTGAGCAACCAGGACAGTATCCTGAAATTCCCAGGAATCTGGAAATAAGAAAGCCACAAAGGGAATAGATATATTTTTTTTTCCCACAGATCTTTGGCAGATTGTAAAGCTGTGCTCATGCACGTGGGAAGATCTAATAGAAATGAAAGCTGACTTATAAACCTTCCTGAGCTTTCAACATGCTCCCCAACCCACTCCTGGATTTATTGGTAGAGGTAGAGGTTGGAAGACTGACTTCCTCAAGCAACACTTGAGGACATCCTCTGAGCAACCATGGGCTGACCACTAAGCTATGCAGAAACAGGAGCAACCCCTTTAAAGCCAGGCTAAAGAAGTTAATGACAAGAAAAAAACAAAACAGAACAGAACAAAAAAACAAAAATAACAAAAACAAAACTGAACAGAGACATCAGCAATAGCAGCACCTTGCAAGGATAAGACATAACCACAGATTAAATTTGGAAAAACTCACAAAAGCTAAAACTAAAGTCAAACCCAAATTGCTAAGAGCCAAGTATATGATGCATGGCATTTTTAGTCTAAAGGTGACGCCAGCTAGCCATTGAGATGATATGATTATGTTAAGATTTGCATTCATATGGATATTGGACTCCTGCTGTTCACCTAGGCCGGCTACGGGACTCCTGGAGAGTTCCCATTGGTTGGGGAAGTACAGTAGGAGGGAGTTCCGGGGGAGGAGCTCTCTCTGCGGGTCCGGGAGGAGGCCGCGTGGGTGGAAAAAATCTTCCCCGGGCGCGTACCGGACATTGGCGGCAGTTTCAAAAAATAAACTTTGTTCCTGCTTGAGTGGCTCGTGATTTTGTGCCCAGCCAGACTGCGGCACCAAATAGCAAAAAACCAACAATAATCCTCAGAGGAAAAACTTAGAGGTTTTTCTGCAATCTGTATACGGGGTAAAAATGGGAGTTCATAACCCACTTGCATCAAAGTGTGAAATATGATATATCAAGAACTATGTAATGTTTTGAACAACCAACAATGAAAATTAAAAAAAATAAAAAATTAAAAAAAAAAAACTTAGAGGTTAGAGTTGCTACAAATATCTAAAAAATGTCCAGTTTTCAACAAATGATAAGCTATGCAAAATAATAGGAAAGTGTGTTCAATACCCAGGGTGAAAAAAGCACTTCAGAAACTTTTTGGTGGTTCCAGATATTAGATTTAGCAGAAAAAAATCCAAAGCAGCTACTTGTAAACATGTTTAAAGAATTGACACATGTTTATTTTATTTTTATTATTATTTTTTAATATTTACTTTTTTTTAGTTGTAGTTGAACACAATATCTTTATTTTATTTATATTTATTTTATGTGGTGCTAAGAATTGAACCCAGGGCCTTGCACATGCTAGGCAAGTGCTCTACTGCTGAGCCACAACCTCAGCCCCTTGACGCAGGTTTAGTTAAGGGGAAATATGATTACATGGCTCAACCAATAAGGAATGAAAATAAACAAATAGAAATTCTGAAAAAGAACTGCGTGTAAATTCTAGAACTGAAAAGTACAATAACTGAAATGAAAAATTCACTAGATAGGCTTGACAGCAATTTTGAGGGATCAGAAAAAAAAGCGTTAAACTTGGGGGTAAATCAATAGAAAAAAGGTGGGAAAAAATGAATATACACTTACAATATCTTTTGGACAATTAAAAATGTACCAAAATATGTATAATGAAAAGTCTCAAATGGAAAAGAAAATGAGTCAGAAAAATATTTTAAAAATGACTGGAAATTTCTCAAATTTGATTAAAAAACATTAACATACAGATTTTAAAACCTCAATAAATTCAAATCAGGCTAGACACAAAAAGATCATATAATATTCAAAGAGAAAAATTTTAAAGCAGTAAGAGAAAAATGACTCACCACAAACAAGTGAACCAACAATAGTATGATTTAAAGCTGACTTCTCCTGAGAAGAACGGAGGTTCCAAGACTGTGGAATGACATATTAAAAGTATTAGAAAAAGAAAAGTCAAAAGCAAGTTTATATACAGTGAAATATCCTTCAAAGATGAAGCAGATTATAATTGAGTGATTTTAAGAAATACAAAACATATAAATTAAAAAATAAGACTTGAATGCAGTGAAATTTGGGGGATGCCCTTGAACATTAAGGGGAAATTTTTAAAATAATATGCTTATATTCAAAAAGATCTCCAATCAATGAACAATCAATGACCACAGTTTCCAACTTATACTCGATAAAGAAGAGCAAATGAAATCCAAAATAAGCAGAAGAAAGTAGACAATAAAGATTAGGATGGAAATCACTAGAACAGAAAATAATAAGTAAATCAATGAAATCAATAGTGGTTATTTGAGAAGATCAACTTGATAAGTATCAATCCAGGAAAGAGAAATAATCAATATCAGAAATGAGAGAGATGACATTACTCTCAATTTTGCAGGCATTAAAAGGATAATAAAGGAAAATTTAATGGACAACTTTATGCTAACAAATTTGACAATTTTGGTGAAATGGATAAATTCCCAGAGAGATACAAACTACCAAAGTTCATACAAGAAGAAATAAACAACCCAATACTCTTATGCTTTATATAATACTTTATACATTTGTCAAAATTTTAATATTTGTTCAGATCAAATCTCTCAGGAAACTGGGAATAGAAGAGAATTTTTTTAAAACCTGGTAAAGTACATCCATGAAACATCTGCAACTAACATTATACTTAATGGTAAAAGGTCACATGCTTTCCTCCTAACTTCAAGAAGAAGACAAGTTGTCCATTCTCAATCTTTTTATTCAAGATTGTAGCCAGTGCAATGAGATAAGAAAAATAAACAACATCCAGATTAGAAATTAAGAAGTGAAACTGTTTCTATTCACAAATAACATGGTTGTCTATGTAGAAAAACTAATGGAATCTACAAAAGAAGTTACTACAATTTATAGGTGAGTTTACCAAGATGTCAGAGCAATGTACAAAAATCATGTTTCTGTATACTAACAACAATTAGACATTGAAAATTTTAAAAATACCATTTACAATAACATTCAAATATGAAATAGTTAGGGACAAATCTAACAAAGAACATGAAAGACCTATACACTGAAAACTACAAACCATTGACCTAAGAAATCAAGAGATATATTGTATTCTAAGATCAGAAGACTTGTTAGCATGGCCAGTGGTTTACTTATTTATTTATTTTTTCAAAAACCAACTTTTTGTTTTGTCAGTTTTTTCAATTGTTTCTTTTGTTTCAATTTCATTAATTTCAGCTCTGGTTTAATTATTTCCTATCTTGTATTGATTTTGGTGTTGATCTGTCCTTCTTTTTCTAGGACTTGAGATGTAGTGTAAGGTCATTTTTTTGTTGACTTTTTATTCTTTTAATGAATGCACTCAATGCAATAAACTTTCCTCTTAGTACTGCCTTCATAGTGTCCCAGAGATTTTGATATGTTGTATCAGTGTTCTCATTTACCTTTAAGAATTTTTTTAATTTCATCCTTGATTTCTTCATCATGCATTATTCAATTGTGTAATATTTAGTCTCCATTTGTTACAATAGCTTCTATTTTCTATTTTATCATTGATTTTTAATTTCATTCCATTGTGTCAGTTAGAATGCAGGGTATTATCTCTGCTTTTTTGTATTTACTATTAGTTGCTTGTGGCATAAGATATGGTCTATTTTGGAGAAAGAGCCATGTGCTGCTGAGAAGAAAGTATATTTACTCACTGATGGATGAAATATTCTATATATGTCTGTTAAGTCTAAATTATTGATTGTATTATTTAGTTCTATAGTTTCCTTATTTAGTTTTTGTTTGGAAGATCTGTGTAGTAGTGAAAGAAGTGTGTTAAAGTCACCCAGTATTATTGTATTGTGGTCTATTTGACTCTTGAAATTGAGAAGGGTTTGTTTGTTATAGCTAGATGCTCCATTGTTTGGGCATAAATATTTATAACTGTTATGTCCTGTTTATACATACATCCCTTAAAAAGTATGAAATGTCCTTCTTTGTCTCTTCTGATTAACTTTGAAGTCTACTTTATCTGAAGTAGTAACCCCTACTTCTTTACGCAATCCATATGAGTGATGAGTTTTTTCCCATCCTTTCACTTTTAGCCTGTGGATGTCTGTGCCCATGAGGTGAGTCTCTTGAAGACAGCATATTGTTGGGTCTTGCTTTTTAATCCAATCTGTCTTTTGATTGATGAGTTTAGGATGTTAACATTCAAGGCTATTATTGAGATATGATTTGTATTCCGTGTCATTTTGATTTATTTCTGGTTTTTGATTTGTCTTTGTTTCTCATTTGGTTGAATGTCCCTTTAAGTGTAGATTCTCCCTTTGCTGGTTTTTTACTTTTTTTTTTTTCCCACTTCATCCTCATGGAATATTTTGTTAAGAATGCTCTGTAGTGTAGGCTTTCTAATTGTGAATTCTTTTATTTTTTTTTTATCATGGAATGATTTAATTTCATATTCAAATCTGAAACAATTTTTTAAAAATATTTTTTATTTTAGTTTTCAGCGGACACAACATCTTTGTTTGTATGTGGTGCTGAGGATCGAACCCGGGCCGCATGCATGCCAGGCGAGCGTGCTACCGCTTGAGCCACATTCCCAGCCCTGAAACTTAATTTTGCTGGATATAAAATTCTTGGTTGGTGTCTATTTTCTTTCAGAGATTTAAATAGGACCTCCTAGCTTTCAGGGTCTGGGCTGAGAAATCAGTTGAGATTCAAATTGGTTCCCCCATATACATAATTTGATTTTTTTCTCTCATAGCCTTTAAGATTTTACCTTTATTCTGTATGTTAGTCATTCTCATTATAATGTGTCTTGGTGTGGGTCTGCTGTGATTTTGTACTTTTGGGGTCCTGTAAGCCCCATGTATTTGATTTTCCATTCCATTCTTTAGGTTTGGGGAATTTTCTGCTATTACACTGAAAGGATTTTGCATTCCTGTGGTTTGTATCTCTGCTCCTTCATCCATTCCAATGACTCTTAAATTTGGTCTTTTCATGTTATCCCATAATTCTTGGATATTCTGCTCATGGTTTCTTATCATCTTCTCTGCATGGTCAACTCTACTTTCAAGGTTATATATTTTGTCTTTATTGTCTGAGGTTCTGTCTTCCAAGTGGTCTAATCTGTTGCTGATGCTTTCTATTGAATTTATAATTTAGTTTACTGATTCCTTTGTTTTGAGGATTTCTGTTTGTTTTTTTTCTCTCAGTCTCTAACTCTTTATTGAAGTGGTCTTTCACTTCCTGTATTTTTTCTTTGATTTCACTCCTTATACTACTTTTTACTTCACATATCAATTTAACTATATACAATCTAAATTCCTTCTTGGACATTTCTTCTACTGTGTTATCAGTGGCTTCTGTTGTTGAAGCATCTTGGTTTGTTTGGGGCACTTTATTCCCTTGTTTTTCATGTTGTTAGTGTGTTTTTTTCATCTAATTGTATGGACCTTAGTCAGGATCAGTTCTATCCTGGAGACCTACAGTGTCCCTGAAGGCTTCCAGCACTTTGCCTTTACTGATAAGACCAATATTAACAGCACCCAATGAACACAATACATAGCCTTAAATCTAGTAACTCCCACTAAGGCATCTACTGCTTTCTCACATTGAACCAAAATGATGAGTTCAATAACTATCTACAGTATAAACAGAGAGAAAACTCAAATTACTAAAATACAAGATGAAGAAGGAAATATCACAATGGAACCGTCTGTAATACAGAAGATAATTAGAAACTATTTTGAAAATGTATACTTTAATAAAATAGAAAATAGTGAAGACATTGACAAATTTTTAGAGACAAATGACCTACCCAAACTAAATGAGGAGGTCATACGTGATTTAAATAGATCAATTTTAAATAATGAAATAGAAAACACCATCAAAAGCCTAACAACCAAGAAAAACCCAGGACCAGATGGATTCTCAGCCAAGTTCTGCAAGACTTTCAAAGAAGAATTAACACCAATAGTCCTCAAAGTATTTCATGAAATAGAAACGGAGGGAACCCTTCCAAACCCATTCAGGCTAATATCACCCTGATTCCAAACCAGACAAAGACCCATCAAGGAAAGAAGACTTCAGATCAGTATCTCTGATGAACATAGAAGCAAAAATTCTCAATAAAATTCTGGCAAATCACATACAAAAATATATTAAAAAGATAGTGCACCACAATCAAGTGGGGTTTATCCCAAGAATGCAGGGTTGGTTCAACATATGGAAATCAATATATGTAATACATCATATTAATAGACTTAAAAACAAGAATCATGATCATCTCAATAGATGCAGAAAAAGCATTTGACAAAATACAGAACAACTTCATATTCAAAACACTAGAAAAACTAGGGATAATAGAAATACCTCAACATTGTAAAAGCTGTATATGCTAAACTCAAGGCAAGCATCATTCTAAATGGAGAAAAATTGAAAGCATTCCTGCTAAAAACTAAAACAAAGACAAGGATTTCCTCTTTAACCACTTCTATTCAACATCATTCAACATCATTCTAGCCAGAGCAATTAGACAGTAGAAAGAAATTAAAGGGATACAAATAGGTAAAGAGGAACTCAAACTATCACTATTTACTGATGACATGATTCTATATATAGAAGATCCAAAAAAATTCCACTAGAAAACTTCTAGAACTAATAAATGAATTCAGCAAAGTAGCAGGATATAAAGTCAACACCCATATATCATTTATTCCCTTGTTTTTTCATGTTGTTAGTGTGTTTTTTCATCTAATAGTATGGACCTTAGTCAGGATCAATTCTACCCTGGAGACCTATAGTGTCACTGAAGGCTTCCAGCACTTTGCCTTTACTGGTAAGACCAATATTAACAGCACCCAATGAACACAATACATAGCCTTAAATCTAGTAACTCCCACTAAGGCATCTACTGCTTTCTTGCATTGAAC